ACTGATTGTCTTGAATGCTGGTTCTCAACTCTCCATTAAACTTGATGGAGACAATTATCCTGCCTGGAGAATTCAATTCATGGCTCTTTTAACAGACTATGATCTTCTAGGTTATATTGATGGAACTAAGCCTTGTCCATCAAAACAGCTCGCAAACAATACCGCCGCTGTCAATCCAGCCTTCACAAATTGGGTTCGACAAGATCAACTCATTCTACATGGTATTGTATCTTCGGTGGCTGCAACCGTGGTCACACACTTAGGAACTGTCAAAAGTTCCAATCAAGCATGAGAGATCCTTAAAACCATGTATGCGGGCCGCTCAAGAGTGCGGATTATTGCGCTCAAACAACGGATTTCCAATTTCAAAAAAGGAAATCAATTGATGGCTACATATCTACAAGGGATAAAGGCAATTTCAGATTAACTCTCAATCATTGATCATCCCCTTGATGAAATTGATCTTGTTATTCACACTCTCAATGGTTTGAGTGCTGAGTATCGTGAAATTTCCGCTGCCCTTAGAAGCAGAGAAAGTCCTGTTGCATTTGCTGAACTTCATGAAAAACTGATGGATTTTGAAACAATTCATCATCAAGCTGATCTACTTGCAGTTGACAGTGTGATTGCCACTGCCAATGCAGCCACAAGAACAAAAAACTATCACCACAAAACAAAAATAACCGCAACCCTTCACCAACTTTGCGGAATGGCGAAAATAAGGTGGTCTGTCAGTTTTGCGACAAGACAGGTCACACTGCTAAGGTTTGCTACAGAATTAAGGGATTTCCTAAACGAAACGGCCCTAAACCAACAACGAACTTTGCTCAAAATCAGGCTGCAACACAACATGGTAACTGGGTCATGGATACAGGAGCATCTCATCATATTGCTCAGGACCTACAACAGCTTACCTTAACAAATTCCTATCCTGGAACAGATTGGGTGATTATTGGTGATGGAACAGGTTTGCAAATTACTCACACTGGTAACTCTGTTATTAATACTTCTGTCAAACCTCTTCATCTTAAACAAGTCTTATGTGTTCCTAAAATTCAATCTAACCTTTTGTCTGTCTCCAAGTTATGTCAATCTAATAGTTGTTCTGTTGAATTTTTTGCAAATCATTTTGTTGTCAAGGACTTGACCTCGGGTCAACCACTGCTTCAAGGACCACTTAAACATGATCTTTATCATCTATCCAATGCATTTCGTTCATCTAGTCCACCGCAAGCATTGCATACAAGCATTCATTCTACATCTACATGGCATCATAAATTAGGACATCCTTCTTTCAAAATAATAAAGCATATGACTGACAATCATCATCTACCAATAAAGCTTCCGGCCTCACATGAGTGTACTTCTTGTCGCTGTGCAAAAAGCCACAAGCTTCCTTTTTCAAATCATCATCTCACAAGCAGCAAACCTTTGGAACTTTTGTACTCTGATGTTTGGGGCCCAGCTCCTGTTAGATCAGTAGATGGTTTTTTATATTATTTAATCATTGTTGATCATTTTTCCAAATATGTCTGGTTGTACCCAATGAAACATAAGTCAGATGTCTTCTCTATTTTTGTTCATTCAAGTCCATTGTTGAAAAATCCTTTAATTTTCCGATTGTTTCTCTTTTCACTGATAACGGTGGAGAATTTATCAAATTAAAATCCTTTCTTGCCAATAATGGCATTTCTCATTTAGCTTCACCACCTCACACACCTGAGGTAAATGGCACAGCAGAGAGGAGACACAAACATGTTGTTGAAACGGGTCGTGCTCTTTTGCATCATGCTAATTTACCCTCCCAACTATGGTCATTTGCTTTCACCACTGCTGTGTATCTTATTAACAGGATGCCTAAACCAATCATTAATATGATCTCTCCCTTTGAAATATTGTTTAAAAGCAAACCAACTTATCATACACTTCATTCATTTGGTTGTTTGTGCTTTCCTTGGCTGAAACCATATATGCAAAATAAGCTCCAACCCAGGTCTAAACCTTGCATCTTCCTAGGCTATTCAACGTCTCAGTATGCATATTTTTGTCTTGAACATGTGTCAAATATGATATATGTATCTAGACATGTCCACTTTGTGGAAAACTCATTCCCATATCAATCCCTAATTAATTCGTCATCTACTTGTCCTCCAATTCCATCACATGACTCTTCGGTACACAATATTATTCATGTTACCCAAGATCAAAATTCAGCTCAGGAACCAAACCAGTCCCTAGCACATGAGTCATCCACCCCTGAGCCATCAGTCCCGGTATCGAGTCCCACAACAGATCCGGTATCAAGTCCTCCACCAGTCTCTGAGTCAATGCAACCTATCGAGTCGTCTGTAACAACAGAGATACCAGTGACTAGTGATAACTTAACAAGCTCTATCACTAACAATGCATCTGATCTGGTTCCAACTTCAACGATAAATAATTTGGTTCAACGTGCTTCTATCGTGACAAGGTCACAAAATAATATATTCAAACCCAAGAAACTATTTATTGTCTCTAAACATGACTTGCAGGAAAATCTTGAGCCATCTACTATTACTCAAACACTTAAAATACCACATTGGAGAGATGCTTGTTCGGCTGAATTTAATGCACTCATGAATAATGGTACTTGGACCTTGGTTCCCCGTCAGGCTCATACTAATTTAGTTGGCTGTAAATTGTTGTTTTGCATCAAAAGAAATCCTGATGGGAGTGTGGCACGATATAAAGCAAGGTTGGTTGCAAAAGGGTTCACTCAAACACCTGGTCTTGATTTTAAGGAAACATTCGCACCGGTTGTGAAACCTTAAACTATTAAAGTGGCTCTCACTTTAGCACTTTCTCAAGGGTGGTCCTTACACCAAATGGATGTTAATAATGCCTTTTTGCAGGAAAAACTGACTGAAGATGTCTACATGCAACAGCCACCCGGGTTTATTCATTCTGAATTTCCTCAACATGTATGTAAACTCAAGAAGGCTATCTATGGCTTACGACAAGCACCTCGAGCATGGCATGATTCTCTCAAGGCCTTTGTTCTTTCTACTGGGTTTCAAACAAGCCTAAATGATTCATCCTTGTTTATTTACAATAAACATGGTGTACAAGCTTTCTTATTAGTATATGTTGATGACTTACTTTTGACGGGCAGTGATATTACCTTTTTAACTCGCTTCATGACAGAACTTTCCAACAAGTTTTTGCTCAAACAACTTGGTTTCCCTTATTATTTTCTTGGCATTGAAATGATCCCAACCAAAGAGGGTATGTTATTATCTCAACATGGTTATATTCGAGAACTCTTGGATAAGTTCAATATGGCTGGAGCAAAGACCGTTAACACACCATTATGTATGACTACTCCTCTCAAACTAAATGATGGATCAGCCGCTGCCGACTCAAAGTTATTCCGTAGTATCATTGGCGCATTGCAATACGTTACTTTGACAAGGCCATATCTGTCCTTTGCAATTAATAAATTGTCACAATTCATGCATCAATCAACACAACTGCATCTCCAGCAGCTCAAGCGAGTATTACGGTATCTAAAACATACTATTAATCATGCTTTGCGGCTAGCAAAACCACTTCATCTCAAACTGCAAGCCTTCACCGATGCTGATTGGGGAGGTAATTACGATGACAAAACATCTACTTCAGCTTACATAATTTACTTTGGAGGAAATCCTGTTTCATGGTTATCAAAAAGACAGAGAACAGTTGCAAGATCTTCCACAGAAGCCGAATACCGTTCTGCTGCCAATACTACAGCTGAGATCATGTGGTTGCTCAATCTATTGAGTGAACTTGGAGTACCATCTCAAGTACCTACTCTTTTTTGTGACAATATTGACACAACCTACTTATGCTCCAATCCAGTTTTTCACTCTCGGATGAAACACATTGCTCTAGATTATCATTTCGTGCGACAAATGGTTCAACTTGGCAATATACGAGTATCTCACATTTCTACAAAGGACCAACCGACAGATATTCTAACAAAGCCTATGCATCGAACCAGATTTTCATTTCTCAGAGACAAAATTTGTGTCATTGATGGTGACCCAATTTTGAGGGGGCATAATAATAGATATGAATAAGTTGTTCCAATAATTAAGTGTAAGCAACGATTCCTATTACTATGCATATGAGTTGGTATAATTTGAATTATTCATTGCTTAATACTAGAAATCACCAATAGGGTTTCCTTAGGATTAGAAATTAGTTATACACTCAAATATTATTTGTATCTATAAATATTCAGCACTTATTACTGGAATAATATATAAAAGAATAGTATGGTGGATATTCCCAAAACTCATTTTAATATAATTGTAGTATATGAAAATTATACTGTTGCTGTAACAAATGTTCTATTATGCTAAAATGGATTTGACTTTAAACTAAATGGTTGGCGAAGGCAAGTCACCATTTAAACTAGTAGTCAACAAAAATCTTTGATTTTTTTCAAACAATAATTTTTTAGAAAGTACAAATAATGAAATCCAAAAGAAAAATGGTGCAGGTCCACTAAATGGTGTATTAAATATTTAAGACTATGATCTCTCTTTTCATAATGAATGTGAAATGAAATTATAAAAGCAATCAAAGTTGAAACCATGTGTTTCCCACATGTAAAGTATGTGAAAGGGATAAGATTTGGGTGATAATGATGATGGCTAAGTACTAATAATATAATTGCAATTAGAAGCCATAACAAGTGAACGTGAACCCCACTCCCTTTCTCAGGTATTATTGTTTTCTTCTCACTTTTCTATAAAAATCTTGTTTCACTCTTTTCTAGTTAAATAGTACACCAATTTTTAACTATTTTTCAGACCAACCGACATAACAACAATAATAGTACTACAACACAACACAACAAACAACACACTTGCCTTGTTCTTTTCTTTTCCTAAATTAAACTCCTAGGTTAAGGTAGTCTCTTTGATGTTGCGTGTCTTTAAGTTTTTCATTTTCTCATAATCAATGCATGCTGCATGGATGTTAAGATGAGTTTGTTTTTGTTTCTTTGTCATCACTGGGTGGTGTTGCTGTTTCTGTTGATGCTTCCCTGTTTGGGTGGAGTTTATTCAAATTCAACAATTTCAATACCCTCCATTGTGAACATTGGAGCTATCTTCACCTTTGATTCCTCCATTGGTAAAGTTGCTAAACTTGCCATGGAACAAGCTGTCCGAGATGTCAACTCCAATTCCTCTATTCTACACTCAACTCACCTTGTTCTCCATATCAAATCTTCCAATTGCAGTGGTTTTGACGGCATGATTCAAGGTAATTATCTAATTCCATTCAATTCCAATTCATATAGGTTAAGAGTCTCACGTCAGACAATATATGGCTTGAACATCAGGGCAATCGTGACCCTACAAACCGGTTTTGTAGGGTGGAATTAGGCCCACCACATTTTTTAAATATGGTATCAATGGCATCAAGAGCCTCGTTTAAGATCCGGTGAAACACATTCTATCAGGTTTCTGCATCACCATTTATTTTTACGCCTCCAGATGTCGAGTCTTGTGCGTGATTGTGAGTGAGGGGGTGTGTTAAGAGTTTACAATTTGTTGTGTTGAATAGTTATTCAGTAGCAACATGGTTGACCAAAGATTTGTGAACCTATTGTGTTGTATTGATTGCAGCTTTGCGGTTCATGGAGACGGATGCAGTTGCTATATTAGGTCCACAATCTTCTGTAGTTTCTCACGTAGTATCCCATGTTGCAAACGAGCTTCGTGTTCCTATGTTGTCGTTTGCAGCTACAGACCCTACACTCTCGTCGCTTCAATTCCCGTTCTTTGTCAGGACAACGGTCAGTGATTTGTATCAGATGACTGCTGTGTCTGAAATCATTGATTTTTATGGATGGAAAGAAGTCATTGCCATTTACGTTGATGATGATTATGGACGAAACGGGGTGTCTGCGTTGGAAGATGCCTTGGCCGCGAGGCGTTGTAGAATTTCCTACAAGGTGGGAATCAAATCTGGAGCTGTTGTTGATAGAAATGAAATTACCAATGTGCTTGTGAATATGGCGCAAATGCAGTCTCGAGTTATCGTTGTTCATGCTCATTCGAATTCTGGATTTATGATCTTTAAAGTGGCGCATTATCTTGGAATGATGCAGGAGGGTTATGTCTGGATAGCCACAGATTGGCTTTCCACTGTTCTAGATTCTGTTTCGCTTCCTTCAGAGATAATGGATACTCTGCAGGGTGCACTTGTTTTGCGCCAGCATACACCTGATACTGATATGAAGAAAGCGTTTTTCTCGAGGTGGAATAAGTTAACGGATGGTTCCTTAGGTTTACATTCTTATGGCCTCCATGCTTACGATTCTGTTTGGCTCGTTGCACGAGCTATTGATAAATTTTTCAGTCAGGGTGGGGTCATTTCGTGGACCAATTACACAAGTTTGCATGAGGGTAAGGGAAAGGGCGGTGGTCTTAATCTTGATGCAATGAGCATATTTGACAATGGAACACTTCTGTTGGAAAACATATTGCGGAGCGATTTTGTTGGATTATCAGGTCCAATGAAATTTGATTCAGATAAATCTCTTGTTCGTCCTGCCTATGACATCGTAAATGTTGTTGGAAATGGTGTCCGTCGAATTGGATACTGGTCTAACTATTCTGGTCTGTCTGATGTATCTCCTGAGACATTGTACGCTAGCCCACCTAATAGATCAAGTGCAAACCAGCACCTTCACTCAGTGATATGGCCTGGAGAAACATTAACCAAGCCCCGCGGATGGGTCTTCCCAAGCAATGGGAAACAATTGAGAATTGGTGTGCCTATCCGAGCCAGTTATCGTGAATTCGTGTCGCCAGTGAAGGGAACCGACATGTTTAAAGGTTTCTGCATTGATGTATTTGTGGCAGCTGTAAACTTGTTGCCATACGCCGTTCCTTACCGGTTAGTGCCATTCGGAGATGGCCTCAAAAATCCAAGTTACACAGAATTCGTCAACTTAATAACCACTGGTGTAAGTACTTCCCAAGAAACCCGATTCTCTATGTATGCTAACAAATCTTCTTTAGCTTCCTTATTTTATTTCAAGTGGCTAATTCTTTCATTTACGCGGTACAGTATTTTGACGGTGCTATTGGCGACATTGCTATTGTCACAAACAGAACAAGGATTTTAGATTTTACACAGCCATATACTGCATCCGGACTTGTTGTGGTTGCCCCTTTTAAGAAGATCAATTCCGGGGGTTGGGCTTTCTTGCAGCCGTTCACTCCTCGTATGTGGATTGTGACTGCTTGTTCGTTCTTTTTTGTCGGGATAGTTGTATGGATTCTCGAACACAGGATAAACGACGAGTTCAGGGGTTCACCAAAACAACAACTCATAACCATATTATGGTCAGTTATTTGAGTATCTTATATGCCATGTTATAAACAAAGACCGTGTTTCTGATCCATCTATTTTTACCGTGCATGCAGGTTTAGCCTGTCAACGCTCTTTTTTTCCCACCGTAAGTGATACTCCGGTTAATTTTGTTAGTTGAATTTTGAATGGACATAATGAAGCAACTTCATCTGTTTTTTTCCGTTGCTTCTGCAGGAGAGAATACAATGAGTACTCTTGGCCGCGGCGTGGTACTCATATGGTTGTTTGTGGTTTTGATCATTAATTCCAGCTACACTGCGAGTTTAACGTCCATACTCACGGTGCAGCAGTTATCTTCACCTATCAGTGGCATAGATAGCTTAAAAGCTAGTGATGAACCTATCGGGTTCCAAGTTGGTTCATTTGCGGAACGTTACTTGACTGAAGATATTGGAATATCCAAATCTAGACTTGTTGCTCTTGGATCGCCGGAGGCATATGCTAAGGCGCTCCAGCTCGGTCCTAGTAAAGGAGGTGTTGCTGCTATTATAGACGAACGACCATACGTCGAAATATTCTTATCGACCCAATGCACATTCAGGATTGTAGGTCAGGAGTTCACCAGAAGTGGCTGGGGTTTTGTGAGTATCTTATCTACTTTTTAGATAAATAATCGATTTTATATAGCGAAACTCATTTTGTTTGTCATCATGGTAGGCATTTCCTCGGGACTCCCCTTTGGCGGTGGATTTGTCAACTGCGATTCTACAACTTTCTGAAACTGGTGATCTGCAGCGGATTCATGATAAGTGGAATACGCGAAGTACTTGTAGTTTAGATAATACTGAAATTGATTCAGATCGTCTTCAGCTCAAAAGCTTCTGGGGTCTCTTCATCATTTGCGGGATAGCTTGCGCTATAGCTCTTATCATATATTTTTTGCAGATTATGTTAGTGTTATGGCGTTCTTCTCCTTCTGAGCCCGCGTCTAATGTTGGCCCAATTCAAAGATTTCTTTCACTCGTTGACGAGAAGAAAGGTCCGTCGAGGAGTGAAAGAAGAAAGAGGAACGGAGACGAAATGTCGCCTGAAGATCAATTGGGAAGGCAACCGAAGAGGATTCAAAGAGTAACAGCAGCATAGTTCAAATCAAACAAGTTAAATGTTTATTGATCTTTACCTTTGTGCTATTGTACAAATCCAAAATTTTAGAACATTGTAAATGATTCTAGTTATAACATTCTTCTTCTTAAGCAATATATTGAAAGCTTTTCAGGGAACTATTTGATTTATGAGACTCAAACAATTGGAAGTTATCTCAGAGAACATGTTAGTACTTTTATTACATTACATTATATACAAACCCCAAGTCAAGGGAGCTTCCTAATGATTGTGCTTTCTTGTAGATGTATATTATATTATCACATCCTTTTATTGTAAATGATATCTGGAAATTATGGTAAATGGTAATTTCATTCATTTTGAATAAATTTGAATTTACCTCAGAGAGGTTGACTATAAAGCGATCTATCTATTATGATGAGTGTGATTGAGCAATATTGGATGGACCAACAAAATTTGTACTTAACTTTTATTGATTTGGAGAAGACTTACGATAGCCTGCTTAGATAGATTTTGGGAAAAGGTCTAGAGAAGAAAGGCGTCAGGATTGTATATATTTGAGCTATTTAAAATATGTATGAAGGGATATCAACGAGTGTGCGGAGACATGGGGAAGAGAGAAACGAATTTTCCATTACCGTAGGTTTGCATCAAGATTAAACTCTAAATCCCTGCTTTTTTTACTTTAATTTTGAATGTACTCGCGGAATACATCCAAGAATTAGCACTGAAATGCATGCTTTTGCAGGTAATATAATTTTTATTGGAGAGTCGAAGGAGGATTTAAATGATAGGTTGGAGATTTGGTGACGAGCTTTAGAAACGCATGACTTTTATCTAAGTAAAAGTAAGACGAAGTAGATGGATTTAAATTCAATAAAAAGAGAAGTGTTTCTAACATAAAGGTGAAAGTTGAATACTATATTCTAAAAGTTACACACTTTAAATATTTTAGATCCGTAATACAAAACGATGGAGCAATAGAAAGAGATGTAAACCGTCGAATTTAAGCTGGGTTACTAAAATGGAGGACGGACTCACGAGTTTTATGTGACAAAAAGGTGAAGCTCAAGTTGAAGAAAAAAACTTTATCAAATTGTGGTAAGATTTGCGATGTTATACGAGTCAGAATGTTGAACAATTAAGAATCAATATAAAATTAAAATAAGTGTAACACAAATGTGGATGTTGCGTTTGATATGTGGTAAAACTTGACAGAATATGATTAGAAATGATCATATTAGAGACACTCGGGTAACCCCTATAATATGGTTGAAAATAAATAGACTTAGGTGATTTGGACATATAGAGAGAAAATCTTTAGATTTTGTAGTAAAAAAAATAGATCAAATAGAAAAGTCAAACAACTATATACAGAAGTAGAGATAAAAAAAAAACTATTAAAAAAGATATTAAGATTAACGATTTAGATAGAAATAACATTATAGCGGAATAAGACTTGTTGTTGATGCGGTAATTTCATTCATTTTGTATCATTTTGTTGTTGGAATTAGATATAGATTGATTGGTTTATAATTTAATATTTATTGTAAATCAGATATCAGAAGTGCATTGTTATAATGATACTTATGAATCATTGTTACACCAAAAACTCATTATTGGCCATAGATAAATGTAAACTGAAAGTCAATTCCTCAGACATCAAATAACACTTGTTTGTCTGAACAATTTGTTGTTTTTTCTCATATGAACGAAATCATACGTTGATAACAGAAGGAAAAAAAACAAATGGCTTGCTGGTAGAGGTAATAATCAAGTCAGAAAATGATTCTCCTCTATTCAAAAACCTTGCATTCATCATCGGCCGGATTCGTCTCGCAGAAGTCTTCCAATGGATCTCCACTCCCTACTTTAGGGGTGCCTGGCCATTTGTTTGCTACTAGATGTGCCAAATCCACCACTCTTTGGCTGAAATTACAAACATTATAACTTATCAATAACATGATCTATGTTACAAGAACATAAAAAGATGCATGAATGTTCTATTTGTATTTACTAGGTCTAGGATAGTGATCTAACCTGTAACCCCATTCATTGTCATACCAAGCAACAACCTTAACCATATCATCTCCCATGACCATAGTCAAGGAAGAGTCAATAGTTGTAGAAACATCGGAGCAGCGGAAGTCAACAGACACGAGCGGAACATCACAGACATCCAATATACCTTTCAGTGGCCCCTCAGCTGCCTTTCTGAATGCTGCATTGACATCTTCAGCCGAAATGCCCTTCTTCGCAACATTCACCACAAGGTCAACAACTGAAACATTAGGTGTAGGTACACGGAGGGCGATTCCGTTGAGCTTTCCCTTGAGCTGTGGCAGCACTAGAGATACAGCCTTGGCTGCTCCTGTGCTGGTGGGAACAATGTTCAGTGCTGCAGCTCTAGCTCTTCTTAAGTCCCTATGTGAAGCATCCAAAAGCCTCTGCACAAACACAGCTCTTAGACTCCATTTAGCTTAGCTTATTTTGACGTAGAGTTTTCAATTCAAACAAAACATGTTACAGTTGATAATGTACCTGGTCTCCTGTGTAGGAATGTGTGGTTGTCATGGTTCCCTTAACGATTCCTGGAAATATAGACCAAAGTTAATTAATCGGCTTTGAAACATGAACCAAATATTGCTCTTAAGTAAGTATCTTCGCTTACCGAACTCCTCATCCAAGACCTTAGCAAAGGGAGCAAGACAGTTTGTGGTGCAAGAAGCATTGCTGTACATTATATGAATATAATCAATCAAAACACAACATTATCTCAATCTCAACATTCGCGACAAAGTCATCAACTTAAACATTAAAGCCTTACCTTATGATGTCGGCTACTTCATGGCCGTAGTCTTGTTCATTCACTCCAACAACATAAGTTGGAATATCAGCACCCTTTGCAGGAGCAGTGATGATAACTTTCTTGGCACCGGCTTGGATGTGTTTTCCCGCACCAGGGCCGTCCACAAACACTCCTGTTCCCTGAACAAAAATGCATTTATCCATTTTAAAGGACCCTTCATTAATAAACAATGTTGCCAAGTTTTCACTCGAATGGATGTCAATATCAATGATTCAAGTCAACTGTGACTATAGTTGCTACATAATTTCCGACGGCAGTGAATCCAAATCCCAATTTGATACACACTATTTAAAATAATGTTGATTTTTAAGAAATGAACCAATCATATACTTGTATTTTCATTTTCATGCCTATGTTGATGATGTTTGAAACAAATCAAGTTGACGGATTTTACCTCAATAACAATGTCAATTCCGAGTTCGGCCCAAGGAAGCTTAAGAGGATCTCTGCTAGAGACAACCTTGATGGGTTTACCATCAACTGTAATAGTCTCATTGTTCAGTATTTTCACTTCTGCTTTAAAGGTTCCAAGCATAGAATCATATTTCAACAAATGTGAAGCCTGAATATGCGAAACAGGAGAAACTAATGAATCCATAGTAACAAAACACACTCACTCAATCCAATCGAAGAGGAAATGACATTTTTGAAAACTTACATTCTTGACACCTCCACTGTCATTGACAACAATGACTTCAAGTGGCGAGTCCTTTCGACCGTGCCAGCATCGAAGGAAATTTCTACCAATGCGTCCAAAACCATTGATTGCTACCTTCAACTTAGCCACAGGCACTCCCCTCACAGCAGTTGATCCATTTGTCTGATCATAGTTTCAAAAATCATAAGCAAATTGAATTTATTTAGATCCATTGCAGTAACCAAATACTACGTTGTTCGGAGTCTGACAAGTCTTAGAGTTTGACACTGACACATGTGGTTACGTGCAATTATTTCATTTTCTTAAATTATTATCAATGTCAATGTATTTGCGTCGCATTCGGTGTCAGTGACAAAATTTAGCTAATAGATTTATGTGACAGATAAAAAAAGGAAAGAATCTCTCATGATCCAATGAAATATATAAAAGTTTTGAGTAGAAATTAACCTTGTAACTGAGTTGAGCAGCTACAACATCATAAAAAGAAGAATCTCTAGCACTATGAACATAGGAAATACATGAACTTGATTTTAGTCCAGAGAATTCAGCTACCTCAAATCTCTGCAGAAGCAAAGTTAAGTTAAGTATAAGCACTTTTACTTAAGTACATGAATTAAGTAAAGATCAACTATGAATTGAAGTAGAGAATTATAGAGAGAGTGAAAGAAACCTTTGAGGCACATTGAGTTGGGAAAGAGTGAGAGGTCTTAGATGGAAACCTTGTGTTTGTTGGGATTCTTGTAGAAGCTAAAGCAGCATGAGTAGCCATAGCTATAGCTGCAAGCAAGTTTAAACAAGAACTCCTTTGATGAGTGTTTATATTCAGAATGAAAATTATGGTTGATGAATGAGTGGTTAATATGTTTCTTAAGAGATTTTTATGAAGTTGGTTGACAAAAAGAAAATAATGGTTGCTGGGAAGTAATGGAATGAGTGGTGAATATGTTGCAAGAATATCTATAAGATAAGATAATGTTTGGTCATCCATGGATTATGATCATGGGAGTTATAGCCACATAAAACAGTGTGAAAGAAGGGAAAATGTGATGATTTAGTTGGATAATATTAATTTGATTTTTAAAAAATTGGTAATATAAAGTGAAAATGTTTATTAACTTAATCTTAGATAAATATTTTTACACATGTATTCGATTGTGTTTTACTCTTATGTCATGATGCTATATTATTTTTACAAATATTTTCATACATACCTTTATAGTTGTAAAAAAATCATTTAATAAATATAACTATTTTAAATAGATCTTTTACCTCTATTAAATTATCAAATTGGTCTTTCTATCTAACCCCTTACTATCACTTGAATTATCATACTATACCGTATAGGAATTTGATCCATATATTTAACCACTTGATCATTTTTTTTATCGAATAGACTGAAAAATCAATTCACCCGTTAAAAATAAATAAGTGAAATATCACATTAATTTTACACACCGGGTCCAAAATCAATTCACTTTTAACACAAATTTATTTTTCAGAATCAATTCACTCAATGAATTTTCTTCACCGCAGAATCAAATACATGCAAAGAAATTTAGGGATCATGTAAAGAATTTGTGAATTTAATTTTTGAAGCATTTGAAAACTCATATGATACATTTGTGTGTCTCTTTAGAAGATGTGCAACATTAGAGGTATTTATTTTATTTAATAGAAGATATCATAAACTATTATCATTTGCAAAGAGATGCTCTGAATATCATTTTCAGTAATTAATTCCTATCCTTATAGTATAGCCTTTGATTCAAATTAACCTCTAGCAAGACTGCACAGTGAACAGAGTTATTAGCAACATACATATACATAGGACAAACATCATAATATATGAATCCATAGTTATCATCTATTCCATGTTTGCAGTAAAAGTGACAACATCCTAATATGGAGAATCCAAAGTGACATTGTTCACCCATCTAAGCAATTGAATACAGATTATTAATCCGATACAAACCACAAACTGTTAACTAAGAGTTATTTCCATATTCTTTTGCTAAAAAGGACAGACAGAAACAAGGCACAAGAAACCTCTAATCGAAATACAAATTCACCTAGTAGAGGCTGCCATCAACTTAGTTTATTACTATATGAAGAAACGGAAAGATATTACAAGAAGTTCGAAATGGATTTTGTACCAACGATATTTTTGGCAAAGCAACAGTCTCTCATTAGACTGCTTCAACTTCATCAGAGTTCACGGCTACCCTATTTGGGGTTACCCTATTTGGGGCTACCTTATTTGGAGCTACCTTATTTGGGGAGTCCCCTGACCGAAGCTGGGAAGAAATTTCATCTATAGCAGAGTTCAATTGTTCAATCTTATTAGACAATACTTTCCTTGTTTTCTGCAAATCAACCAAAGCAAAGCAAATTGTGAGCCATTAAAAAGTATATGGCACTTAAATCAACAACTCGCAGAAAGAAGAATAAGAGTACATAAGGCCCTCCCATGACCAATTCCCTTCTGAATATTAGGACCAGTTTCATGTAAACTTTTGTGACAGAATGGATGGGTGAAAGCTGGATGCCTCCAGGAAATTGATTTGAGCTTAAAAATCATTATCAAGATTTGGCAAATATGTCTAAGATAAAATTGATAATATTTTTTAAAACTAATCCTCACTCAAGTGAGTTCAACACCAGATACACCCAATAGCAGTTGCTGCACCTCCAAGCAAACAAGACCAATCATGACAACGTCTTTTGATCAGATAAACAAACATGAATGATTATACCAATAACAAGCACTGCTTACCTCTAAAGCCTTTTCTTCATCATATATAAACTTTGGCAGTTTTCTCATTAACTCCTTCCTGTCAGTTCCAGTTATAGCATTGCTGATCTATGAAAAAGTAAAAGAGAAATAACTTATTCAAGTTCAAGCAATAAGTGAAATCCTGATTTGCAGTTGCAGCACATAATGTAATGTCAAGATCTTACGATAATGTTAGAGGCGTTAACAAATTGAATTTCCTTATACAGACATAGCCATATAAATGACTAGATTAAGAGGAACAAATATCTTCAAAGTCCTGATCTTGTTGAACATGAAAATGTATATTACAGTAATAAATACTACCTGAGGTGCATACACGCAGCCAAGAGTTCCGACAATTAAACCTCCCAAGATAAAGCCGCCAACAAAGACGCTAGCATTGTTGTCCCTTCCACCATCACTGTAGTTCCAAAACAAGTAGTGGTTCAAATTACAACAACAATCAAGCCTTATCTCACTAAGTCGGATCGGCTACATGAATCAATTTCCGCCATAATATTCAGTCTAAATTGTTAATCTCAAGATCTTTTCTAATAACTTGTTTTATAGTGTGATGTAGATGAATTAAGGTGCAATAACAAAATAGAAGCAATACCTATACGTAGCTTGAACAATTAGAGGCTTTCTGGTAGAAGAAAGGTGCATTCTGCGTTGACGAAGCGGGATCTTCAGAATAGTGTGATCCATCTTGTTTATGGATACCGCTGGCATCATATCATTCCAGATAAGTTAGAAAAGAGTAGAAGAAGAAATGTTAACAAGAAATTAGTTAAAGAAAAAAATAGATGAGTGAAAAGTTTGGTGGTAATAGATGAAAGAAAGAAATGATGATAACTGAAAACCTAACCAAATTGAAACGAGATTTGGAGTGGCATAGAAAATAAAATAATAAAGATAAGTACCGGAATTGGTTAGAAGGAAAGAGGGTGAAACGGCGGCGGCGGAAGCCATAGTAAGAGATGAGAGGAGATGAAATTTGTTGTTGTTGGTCTCGGAGAGAGAAGAGAGAAGAAGAAGAAATAGTGTTGAAATGAAAGGATGGATCGATGATATCTAAGAAAGATGTACACCTAATTTTAATGCAATCAATTCAACTTCGTTTTTTTCTCTTACATATCCAGATCGGATATATTACTGCCAACCACACCGTTTTTTTTAATATTTTTTGTATGTTAATTAATTAATTAATTAATTAATTAATTAATCTAGTATTCACCTTTCTTTTCCATTACCTAAATTATAACATATCTATAATAGCCCGTTTTCTTTATTTATTGTTGGTAAAGTTCGTTTCATGGCATTTGTTTTAAAGTAATTTGTGTCATATTAAATATTTTTGTTACAATTCTTTATACAAACAATTTTTTTAAAATAAAGTAAACAAATTGTTCAAATAATTTTTTTTTTAAATAATCTTTATCGAAATTAGACATCTTATGAAGCTGCTCACTATTTATGCTGAGGTTTTAGGGCAAGAGATTAATTTGAATAAATTTGAAGTGTTTTTTTAGCAGAAACATAAGTAATTTGGCTAAGGTAGAACTTGTCGGTATTATGTGAGTTCGTCATGTGTTGGAAACTGAAAAGTATCTAAATTTGCCCACTATGATAGGTAGAAGTATGATAGGTAGAAGTAAGAAGGCAATTTTCTCTTATATGAAAGATCGCATTTGGAAAAAATTAATTTCTAGAGAGGTAGAGCTTTATCAAAAGCAGAGAAGGAAGTTATCATAAAATCGGTGCTCCAAGCCATACCGTCCTATGTTATGAACCTGTTTATCCTTCTGTTCGCCTGGATTTTTAGCGAACAACTTTTAGCCTCTTATTAAAATTTACGTGCAGGATCGACTACAAGAATCCTAGACTATGTGTTAACTATAGATTGAGTATTTTTAGTGCTTAGGTTTAGAATGGTAGATGAAAACACTACGTTTGTACGATTGAACTAACTCAAGGAATGAAAAGTAAGACAAAATTGTAAAGAGAAACAAGACTTGTAAACTTAATTGCTTAAGTGTAAAAATGGGCACATGCATGCATTTGCGCATAATTGACTCGTTTCTCTCACGCGCTGATACTTTGAGTGTATTCTTTTAAGTGTTACAAAATGCAACCCCTAAAATTGAAATTGAAATCTCCTTAAATGGGTTTAAAAAATAACGGTTACTTTGTTGTTAGTCATCCCCAGCCCGCCACGTGTCCACCCATGCATGCCCACTAACTATGTAACTTCCCACGTTCTCGTCCATTGCAAACTTGCTTCATACCTAGAAACTCTGGCTCGCCTTCGACTTTGACTAGGATGGCCATCTGTCGAGCCCGCTTCAACATCTTTCTAACGGGTGGTCTGTCGAGGAGTTTTTGACCTTGGTTTGCAAGATGTCTCGTCGAAGCTGTTTTTCTTTCCTTGGTCGAAATTTGCAAGCTAACAAATTTCCCCCTAAAAGGCCAACTTCGACTGAGATTTTCTTCGATTGAGAACTGACATTTTACCTTCTGCCGAATTTCGACTTTATATCCTATTTGCCGGCATCACGCGTCATGATGACAACTTTCTGCGCCACGATTTTCAAGGGAAACTCCATCATTTGTCATGATTCTGGCTACTCCCTAGGTCGTGGATTTTTAACTACCCTCATTAAATTTCTCACTACAATGGAATGTGAGGGCAAAGCCTCATATATAGATGTGCTCGTTTCGATGATGTCAAAACTCAGCTCTATAGAAAAATATATGTTGGATGTTATCATCATGTCATATTTGCATGTCTTATCTCTCATGATTCAAATGCTCGTCAAAATCATGTTTGTTGCATATAGAGATGGCCAAATTTGTGTTTCATATAGGATTGACTTAGTTGGTTTTGTTTTCATACTATAGGTTTCATCAAATGTGTCTTAATGCATGAAAATGGGCATTTTTTCTTCCTATTTTAGGGTTTTGAGTCGACCCAAAACTTGCTCCGGTCGACTCACACAACAAGTCATATTAATGCATTAGTCTCAGGAGGGCTCACGACAACCCTTCGATCGACTCATACTGTGACCATTTCCATTTGGCTAAAATTACATGTTGTCGACGCATGCCTTGCTCCGATCGGCGCATGGTTCTGATTTATATATAATCTTGAATTCGGGTAAGCTCAGATCGACCACCTCTAGTACTGCATAGGTCGACCCCTCGCTGTTTTGTGTCAAAATTCGGTTATGTCAACTGCTTTTGTGAGTCTGTTTTGTTTGTTATGTCAGTTATGTTTTGTATTTAAGTTGAGTTGTACTTTCATTTCATAACATCAAAGAAAACAAGAAAAGTGAAATTACGTGTCGATTGGGTTCTCATCGTCTTCATTCTCTTCATAGCATTTCACAACAATTACACATAATCATTTTTGTTGTGCATTATGCATGTTCGAGGTGATAACGTCCAAAGCCGAAGATTGATTTTATCTGGTTTCGGTTGAGTAATCGATAAGTTTTTCTTGAATAAAACCGTTAGGGTTTTGTTCTCCAAGAATCTCAGAGTTTGGGAGTTCTTACACGATTCGTTCCATCACATATTCAGCCGAGTGAAGGTAATCGAAGAGCTGGAGGTTCTGTCGGTTTAGTAGCGGTAAACGGAGGATTGTTAGTGGGAGATTCGGGTTCGAAACGTGGGTGACTAAAATTAGTCGGGCCAAATTTTGAAGACTGAGGGTTGTTTAAAGAGAGTGTCGTAATCAGAGGTTTATTCACCGCGTTCGAAGTACTTGATTCAACTTGAATCAATGGGCAAGAAGAAATAGGCTCTACAATAACAAATTGTGTTCGATTGTTTGATCTCTATTTGCTTCTTGTATAAACATTGACCAACAAGTTATATCTATCTATATAAAGGTCTCAATTCTATTGTTAGAATTGAGGGAAGACGTACCCCGAGCGAGGACGATGGGGAAACTGCCTCAACAAATCGTTGTGTCTTTTTCTTTATGTTTATATTGCTAAATTTGTGAGTTTTTAGTACAAACGATTGTGTCAATCAAATTATAATTTGAGTTGCCCTGAACCAATTTTTAGGTTAATTACAATCATTGATTGTAATAGAAAACATGAGCACTCAACTCTCAAAATAGAATTCACTTGTAGTGCTCTGCACTCCAAGTGTTTGATAAATTGTGTGAACTAAAAACCTTGTGTGTTGTCTTTGCAAATTGTCTATATTTTAAAGGCATTGGAACTAGCCACACCTTATAGTGAAAATAATCTAATTGAAGTAGTGATTCTCATATCTCTTTTATTAGATTCCATAGGCTTTACACATATCCAGTTTTCTAGTAACCGTTCGTTTTAGAGGTGTATAGTTCCTCGGCCGCTTCCGCCTTAAACAATTTTAAAAACTTTAAAAACCAAATTTTGTTAGCACTAACTCTGCTTTAAACAAGCGATCTATTCAACCCCCTTCTAGATCTGCGTTATCGTCTAATAAGTGGTATCAGGAGCACCGATTCATTCCGTGTTTCAAGTATAACTTAGTAGGAAATGGCTAACGAACCTAAAGGGGCTTATAATATAGCACCTATTTTCAATGGAGAAAACTATAGTTATTGGAAAGACTGTATGTGTGTGCATATAAATCCCATTGACAGGAAGGTATGGAATGTTATTTTGAACGGTCCTATGGAAATAACCCTGACCGATGAAAATAACATAATTGTGCTTAAGCCTGAAGCACAATTGAATGATGATGATGAAAAGAAGTATAATTACAATTGGAAAGCTAAAAATATTCGGATCTCCTCCTTGGGAGTTGACGAATACTATATAGTTTTCCATTGTTTGACTGCTAAGTCTATGTGGAACTCATTGCAAGTTGCCCATGAGGGAACCAGTGATGTCAAACTAGCTAGAATCAATACTTTAACACAAGAGTTTGATCTCTTTCACATGGAGCAAGGGAAAACCATTGTTGACATGCAAAAGATATTTTCTCATCTTATCAATAGACTAAATTCACTTGGTAGGCCAGTTGCTACTAACAAAGTCTTAAGATGTCTTACCAGGGAATGGCAACCAAAAGTAATCACCATAAAGGAAGCAAACAATCTTATAACCTTGGACCTTACAACACTCTTTGGAAAGCTTCAAGAACACGAGCAAGTGATTCTTAGTCTTGAGCAATTTGAGAAAAAGGAAAAGAATGAGAAAACAAAAAATACGGAAAAGAAGTCCATAGCTTTAAAAGGCTTCTTGTTCAAAGTCCTATGCAAAAGAGCTGAGTGATTGTGATACGAGTGATGACGAAAAGAATGAGGATATGGGGTTGTTTGTGAAGCGATACAATCGCTATGTCAAGAAAAATGGTATCCAACATTCTGAAAAGAATCTAGTCAATTTCCAAAAACAATCAAGATATTCTAAGAATGACGACAACAAAGGAAGTAGAACAAAAGGGTCGTGCTATAACTGCGGAAAAGCTGGACACTACAAGCGAATTGTCCCTTGATGAAAAAGGACAAAGGAAAGGAAACAAATCGGTCACACAAGAAGCAAATTAAGCCGAGAAAAGCTTACATCGCATGGGAAAGCGATAGCGAGTCATCCGAGGATGATAGTTCTAGTGACGAAGACGAATCCGTCAACCTTTGTCTCTCCGCTCATTAAAAGAAGAAAAACAAAAAGGTACGACATGAAAAATATGATAATTCTACTAGATTGTTTCATTCTGAATTGCAAACCGCTTTTGATACCTTACATCATGAAGCCAAATAAGCCTTTAAAAGGCTAGCCTCAAATAAACAAAATTTTGCTCACCTAGAGCAAAAAATTCGTGATTCCGAAAGGAAACTAGAGGCGTTAAAGGATTCCATAGTGGAAGGTACAAAGGTGGAGTGTGAGGAAATAAGAAAGAGAGTAGTTAACTTTGGGTGTGATACTTGTTACATTTGGCAAAATGAGGTTAGAAATCTCAAGGCCAAA